AAACTCCACTTAGTTACCCCCCCCCCCACGTTTAAAATCGTTTCAAACTAAATTATCTGCCCCTAATAGTCGTCACTAAACCCGGCTCTGTTTGTAAACATTTAGAGTGAACCACAGCTCACCAGACCATGTAGGGGTGTGGGTGGTAGGGAGCGCGCTTACAGCTTGTTTTCTAGCGTCTCCCAGAAGAGAATTTTATATATATATATATATATATATATATATATATATATATATATATATATATATATATATATATATATATATATATATATAGATACTTTAACAAGCGTCCGCACCACCCGGAATTTATTAAATTCGTGCCCTTCCCCTTCCACCCCACTTAGTCAAATGGCTGAAAGAAAGACCGATGCCAAGCTACGACGTAGTCCCCTGCTAGAATGATTCCTCCTTTAACTTGGTGAACTGGCCCGTGGAACGATTCTCTGGTGCATCTAGTGTGTTATCCCTGGTTAACACCACATCGCTGATGTAGATTATTTCCCTTGTATGTTTTGACATTGGTGTGTGGTACATTACTTCCCTTGACATGGCGCGATTTCAACCATAAGCGGGCTAATCCAATATAATTTGTCGAGAGTTATCGTTACTGATGCAGTTGAAAACGCAGCGCAGTAAGCAACATTGTCTATTTCTAGCTGGTTATGAAAAGCCTTCTGGAAGTTGGTCGTCGTCAATTAAAAAAATATGGAATCGATTTCCACCTCCTCACCGTCTGTGAAATGGAAATGACTAAGCTGGTTATGGGCATACCCAGGGTCTATTTCAGACATTTTTCTCCGTTGTTTTTTAGGTTTAGGGATGGAGGGGGGGGGGAGGGGGGGGGAGGGGGGGGGGAAGTGGAGGTGGGGCGGCACTTAACAACTCTGGTATGGGGTGAACACTAGTTAAAGTATACATTTTCTATTTCGTCCGGGGTGGATTGGCGCCCCCCCCCCCTTCCGGAAGAGATACCCGGAAAAAAACAAGAGACAGCCCTATTTAAAAAAAAAAATAATTAGTCCCCATTCCATAGAAGAACCCTTTAAAGTCAATCGTAACCTTATGAGGAATTCGATAATTCAATTAAAGCTGCTGAAGGGGTGTTTTAAAAGCTAACATAACTGATAATCCAAATCCCACAGTCTTAACCTCTCCAACAGTATTTTTCTACGGACGCCCATGTCTGACTAGTGATCCAGATGTAGAGATAGTGTAGCGGTTGTCTGACCACTTGTGTCCACTCAAAGTCGCCAGGCTCCGTCCTGCACGTCCACTGCACGCATGCACGTCAGTCGCTCACGTCCGCTTGCAGCCAGCGGCCATGTCTGCGGCTGTCGTCTGTTTGTTCGTCTGTCTGTGTGTCGTCGTGATTCCAGGAGGATGTAACCGGCGGCAGGTAACGGCACCATGTGACGTCATGTCAGCACAAAGTAGCGTCCGATTACACGGTGTAATTGTATGTAATTGTATGGCATAGGCGTGTTGTCGAACGTGTCATTACATCGTCTCCCCTACACTAAAATACATGCCTGCTTTATAATTTATCCCATAGATTTTATAATTTTAAACTGCTAGAAAAGCTAATTTATAAACAGAACTGTGATAACAGTTTCTCCCTGAACTTTGATATCAACAAACCATCTGCGCTTATAACCGGAAATCGTACGTATTTTTAATGTTTTAAAATATAGTAGAAGCTACATAAGTTGAAAACTGTGATTAGATTTTCCCGTTCGGTTAAGCGGTAGATTTATAATCCGGACGTCACAGCATACGTTGGCTGCATTTTACGTAATAGGAATAATTATTATGTAGGTAATCTCCATGCGCCTGCTTTTGTTAGTGTGTCTGTTACTGATTGGGTCGATGTCTTAAATGTCAACATGCGCTTTCGTAAAGGAGCGGACTGACTAGAGGGGCTGATAATTACTGAGTGGAGAGAACAGGGTGGTGGGGGGGCTGTGAGGAGGTGGAGGGTGGTAGAGGGATAGGAAAGAGGTCGATTACTGATGGGTCCTCTTTGTCGCATCAACGTGGGCAGTGGCGTAGCCAGGATCGTCTCAAGGGGGAGGTTCCAATTTTTACCCGGGGACAAACTTTCGATTTGCCCCCCCCCCCCGTCAAACTTTCGGTTTTCAACCCCCTCTCAAACTTTCGATTTGCACCCCCTCATACTTTATATATATATACCGAGGGGTCTATGGGGGGGTGGTGGTGGTGGTGGTTTATGCCCCCCCAACCCCCCCTGCCTACGCCACTGAACGTGGGCTACTTAGATTTGCTTCTTAAAATCAATTTAGAATCTTGATTAAAAATAATTAAAAACAAAACCCCAAAAAAAAAACCAAAAAAAAAAAACCAAACAAACAGAAACAAACATGTACACAGGCACTATATTAAAATCCCAAGTAAAAAAACAAACAAAAACAATACTACTACATATACCACTGTAACTCCTATCATATTCTAATCATTTGAAATGTAACTGAACACATACACTTATAAAAAATGTACACACAACTTGGCAAACGTCCACACTTACACAAGCTCGAGGCTAACTAAACCAACGCGGCCCTGGCCAACTGTACCGTGAGGTCAGCATGTGTAACATCAACAAACAACCGTGGTCGTCTCACCCTCGCGATGTTCGTGTGTTGACAAGAAGATATTTCCCTCTAGCGGTCTCATGTCACATGTCCACCCCTTCACCCCCACTCTTGTTTGTCACGTGATCAACACGGAGCTAAAGATGACTAATTATAGACAGTTTAGCGTGTGTTTATGTGGATCCTTTAATTAATGTCACAGGTTTCAATTTTTGGGGGGGGGGGGGGGGGGGTTGAAAGTGGGGGTTGACTGTAAGTACGGAGCGAAGGTCAAGTAGGGTCAGGAGAACGTCGTAATAATAATTAAGTAATTACATGACCTTTATTATTTAGTGATATAACATTAATAATAATTAAGTAATTAATTACATAACCTTTATCATTTAGTGATATAGCATTAATGATATTTAAGTAATTACATAAGCTTGATTATTTAGTAACATAACATTAATATCGTCAACCTCCATGCCTTGATTGATGGGAGTGTCTTCCCTTGCGGCATAAATCCCGTGGGTCAAAACAGTGGGGTCAGGGTGTAAAGGAAAGGTAATATAGCACGTGGAGTCACATAACCATACGTCAGAGTGTAATGGTATCTTTAACATACAGTTATAATAACAGTGTTTACCCTAAATTAATAAAATAACGTAGGACGTTACTAAGTCAACTAGTTTTACCTGACTCAAGTCGAGGGTGGGGGGTTGGGATGGAAGGAGGTCTGAGTGCTAGGTACACACTCCCATCTTTTAACAAAGTGAAAGTAACAGCTCAACTCTACTTCATCTGCACAATGGACCGTCCTGTCTCAACGAGCGATGTAGAAATTAGGCTTGGCATAATTAATTTAAAATTACCACGAAAATTTGCGGTAGAACCACAGTAATGATTTATGGTACCTTAAAGTTACAAATACTTACTTGGTTTCAGTCTGTTTTAAAGCTGGACAAAAACTAATGGATGCGGGTGGGGGTGGAGCGGGGGGGGGGGGGGGGGGGGGGTAAATATGGTATTGTGATCCTGACTCTAAATCGTTATCCCACTTTTCACTTATAAGTGGCAAGTATTACCATTGCAACAAACTGGCAAGTCTACATTGTTAAACCTTTGTAACTTAGAGTGGCAAGTCTACATTGTATTACCATTGTAACAAACTGGCAAGTGTACATTGTATTACCATTGTAACAAACTGGCAAGTGTACATTGTATTACCATTGTAACAAACTGACAAGTCTACATTGTATTACCGTTGTGACAAACTGGCAAGTCTACATTGTATTACCATTGTAAAAAACTGGCAAGTCTACATTGTCAAACCTTTGTAACTTTATGTGGCAAGTCTGAATCATTTTGTCATTGTAAATTATAATTGGCCAGTTACCTAAAAATTAAAAGCTAAATTTATTTGTCCAAACAGAACGGCAAAACAACGGGCCTGACAAAATCAAACAGAAGAATAGATAGGCTGGTATTGGAGGTAACGTTATATTTTAAATTTTGTTCAACCATCACACGGTTAAACCAAGTTTAACAGAGAGTTTAACATTGGGTAAATGACCAGTATAACGACATATACCGTAAGTAGCTCGACTGCTAACCTGAATGTCTCGAGTTCGTATCTTAGTCCAGAGAGTATGCAAGTTGTCCCTGAGTCTACCCAGCTCTGATGGGTACCTGACTCAGGGAAAGTTAAGGCGGTTGCCGTTCGTGTACAATCAACTCTACCGTAGTAGAGTTTTTCTAGTCATGCGGGGTTATGTAGAAAAAATACCCGTCTCGGCCACCTTTATTTCTGACCAATCTATGATAGTTACTTCAATAACGCTGAGTGAATTTAGAAAAGCTCCATCATCTCCACTTTGGTCAAACAAAAATACACGGTGTTTCTTTCAGGCATCTCTCATGCAATCCGAGCAAGCCTACCACCCCCCTCTTGGCGATATGAAAAAAAATACGAGTGTCCCCTCCCACATGTAGTTTACAATCCCTCCCATCTCCCCATCCTCGGAGAAAAATGTCAAAAAGAAACCCTGAAAGCATTTAGGCCTACCAGTATTGAAACATTCTACAATGATACATTATTTCGTTAAACAGTGCTACATTTAGGGTGAACTAATATCATATATACATTTCTAGGATAAACAATGTTAAACCGCATAAGATGACAGGGTTTAACGTAATTAATCACTACACGTTATTTAGTTAAACCAAGTTAAACATTATGAAGAACGAAAATAACAACAAAAAATGAGATGAAACAAGTATCGCGTTTAAATTAATGTGCCAGACATATTATATCTAGATCTAGGTCTAGTTTAAAAATAGTTGTCTATAAAAACGGGAATTACGCAGTGTCATGTAACACGTGACCAGCTGACGTAATGACGTCATTATATGTTGTAGTGTATGCAAACTTATTGCAGTCGTAAAAAAATAAAATTCTCATCCTATTATTTATACCGGCTACTGCGTTGGTTTAAAACAGAGTTTCTTCCACAGTTTCTTACAACCACCCCCCCGGAGAAAAAAGTCTGTAAAATACACTGCTTTAAATATACATATAGTTTTAATATGGCTTGACTCCTAACACGAGAGTCTCGAGTTCAGATCCTGATCCGGACTTGAGTATGCAGGACGTCCCTGAGTCCACCCAGCTCTGATGGGTACCTGACTCAGGTTAGGGAAAGTAAACGCGGCTGGGGCATAGTGCTGACCACACCATTCCTTCATATGCCGAGGTTGTGAAACATACACGTTACGTCATCTACCATTACTTAAACGTCCAGCTGTGTTATTAAATATAAATCTTCTGCTGTAGGGTAATCACGTGACCTCCAAAAGGCCGAGTCAGCGGAAACACAAGCCAGGGTCAGGTAAAGGCTTTCCACGTTTGATCACCTGTGTCTGATGTTTGATTGGCTCTACCTTGATCACGTGATATTTGATTGGCTCTAATCGGTCTGTCCATGTGGAAAGTCAGATTGTGAGGCCATGCTCTGTGTTTAGTCAGCGGGCTAAGGGAAAAACCCTTCTGACCACTTCATTATCATAATAAATGACGTCACACGCTAAGAAAAGGGGGGGGGGGGTGGCACTGATTTTCATTTAGATATGATACGTGGGTAGAGGGGGGGAGATTAGATACATGGCGGGGGGATGGGGGTGGATGTAAAAACTGTAAAGTAGACAATATTGAGTGTAATGTTTCACATAGAAATAAACTTGATGCATTTCTTTACATTTTGGATTTCATAAACGGGAGAGGGGGCGGGCAAGTAAAGTAGGGGGGGGGGGGAGCGGATGGACTATTAAGGTAGTTTGACTTTATTTAGTCATTTAGAAACAACAGTTACGCGCTGAATCTAAGCCAAGGGTTAAAGCTAGCATACATTTCAGTGTGAATCAATAATATAGAGCACAAAGGTTACAAACCATTATACAGGCACCAGGAATTTACAGCACTAGTATTTATGTTGTTGCTTGGGTGGTTTTCACATAAAGACAACTAGTTGATTTGCACGGGGACATTATTGTCTAGACCAGGGGTCTCCAAACTTTTCAGTCCGAGGGCCGCATTAACCATCGAATTTCAGTTCGGGGGCCAGTTTCTTCCAGGCATATCTTTGATTTTTTTCTGCGCAAAGTTCTTCAGCCATTACAAACGATTTTTCCTTGGACAAAAGGATCTCCGCGGGCCAGATGATAGAACTTGGCGGGCCGCTTCCGGCCCGCGGGCCGCAGTTTGGAGACCCCTGGTCTAGACTTTTAGAAATACAAATATTTGCAAGGGTAACGATTGTAGATATATCGATCTTAACAATTTAATTGTCTCTTTATAAATTACTACCTCTGTGCTTGTTTATACATAACAACTAAAAACTAAAACTAAATTTTGTTTTTAATGTTATAAAAAGCTAGCCTGGTAATAATGTTAGGTTTTATTCTTCACTTTTATTATTGCTAGTTTTTTTTTTTTACTTTTACTCTTTAACAATTTTTTAATGTAAAACATGCAACATATGTTTAATTAATCCTTAATTTATACAACTAATTAAAAACTTTTTTTTTTTAAAAACAAAATAGATAGTACAAAAGTACGTCATGCTGTTCGTGGAAAATCTAAAAAGGTTGTACATCCATTTAATTACAATCACATTTTTTGTATGTCTGGTTAACCTTTGCATTCAGTTCAATGTTGACCATGTCCATCTATTCAATCCGATGTTGACCATGTCCATCTATTCAATCCGATGTTGACCATGTCTATCTATTCAATCAAATGTTGACCATGTCCTTCCATTCAGTCAAATGTTGACCATGTCTATCTATTCAGTCAAATGTTGACCATGTCCATCTATTCAGTCCAATGTTGACATTGTTGTCTTAATTTTTCTCTCAGAATAAGAACAAGGCAAACGTGAAAACAACCGCAAGTGAAGTGGCTGATTATAATTTTCGTGCATCAATACGGTATGTTTCCAATGGCTTACAATACTGTCTTACATTGATTTTAGAGTTTGTTAATTTTTATGTCAGTGGTTCCTATATTATTTCAGATTCAAAATTCAATAAACATTGCCTAAAATAAACTCAACAATTAGGTATTGCAATCTACAACGGCTACTGATGTATTTGTTTTTCAATTTGATAATGCTAAAAATACATACCGAACTATTTTGTTTAGAACTTAATCTCTATATAATTTTTACAATAGCAAATAATAACTTTAAGTTGTATTTATATGTAAGCGGTCAACCTCAGATGCAGAAATTTGAAAGGAATGTAAAGTTAAGCAACGAATTATCTCCCATTTGCAAATCCAAATAACACAATTTTATTCAAGGGGAATAACTCTCAAGAATAGCTAAATTAACCAAGTGTAACTAAGACATGTTTGAAAAACACAATAAAACGCTCTAAATTTTATTATGTAATAATAATAACAAATCTTTTATATTAGCTATGTAATCTTGTGAAAACAATATATTTTACCTATTGAATACTTAACTGTAGGTTTTGTTTGAAAGTCTAAAAACGTTAGCTTTATTATAACATACTTCTATTCAATTTTGATGACATACACTTTGATTGCTTCTATGATGATACATTGTAAATAAAATTTTGGATCCCCTAAGTAAAGGGACGTATTTCAAAAATCAAACACGGGTAACTATTTTAGACATTGCTAGAATCATTGATTAAACATAAAAAAAATTCATAAAAAACGTTTTAATAACAAGCTTTTATGTAATGATGCACTAAAAAGTAGAAAATAAATTATAGACTACTATTTAAATAACTATAAAGAAAAGCGTGGGTGTCTTCCTTAACATTAGTAAAGGTATCCAATAGATACTAAAGTGACCCACGCTTTTCTTTATAGTTATTTAAATAGTAGTCTATAATTTATTTTCTACTTTTTAGTGCATCATTACATAAAAGCTTGTTATTAAAACGTTTTTTATGAATTTTTTTTTCAGTACTTTACATGTTTTATCTACAATAGAGTTACATGACTAAAAACCATTGCGCGCCTACTGAATATCACGTTCAGTAGGCGCGCAATGGTTTTTGAACGCAGCCATTACGTGGTCGTGATGGCGCAGCTATTGATGACGCGTGTGGTGTGGTTGGCTAGACATGCCTACTAATTCGGTCCAAATTTTAATTAATTCATAAAAAATCAATTAGGCATCCAATTAAGTCAAATTTAGTTTCAGATTGCATTGTCTTCATGTCTTGACCCACGTGCCAACTGTGAATCGTGTCGGTCAAGTAGAACTGTCCGAATTTTCACTCCTGCGTTTCCGTCTAGACTGACGACTGACGACTGACGACTGACGACAGAGGAAGTGAGTTAAATAAAAGCTTGTAAAAATCATAATTTGACAAAACAAAGTTTACGGTTAGTTATAAATTCCATCCTATTTAATATTATATATTAATACTTTAAGAGTGTTAATACAGATTCCTAAAACACTAAAGTATATTTTGCAACTAAAGAACGCCTGCCTTTCCTTGTAGTGTGTTCGGTACTGAATTGAAATAATCTAACTTACGATAAACTAGACTACTTGATATACTCTACTACATTCATAACACATATCAAACTTCGATACCCAAAGATAACTAGACTCGATGCTCCAGAACTACGACACCAACTTGTTTAACTGCACTAAGCTCTACAAACGGTACTCCCAATCAACAACGATTTCACTGGACCTACTACTACACTTTACAATATAATACGATACCTTAATACCAAACAAATCAAAGCTCCCGAACTTCAGAACTACGATACTTAATCACCTGCATTCTCACTTCTCTATTATCAATCAAATTCCATTAGACCTTCAACTACAAAACAGCCGAATAAAAATTATGACACTTTAACACTTCGATACTTTATACCTATGAAACCATATCAGCAACAGCCTTCCACCGTTACTCCCAAATCTAAACGATTCATCAAAACTTACCAAACAAGTGACAATACTTTGAACACCCCGTCATTACAAAACTCTTTACACCAGGACAGATTTCTAATTCAAAGTCAGAGAAAACGAGACTTACAAGCCCTATTAAAACTAGATAACCGTTTGAAATGTTCGAAATTTAAATTACGAACTTATTTAATCGTTTTCTACATCAATTTTATGGCACCAAATTAAAAAGGCAAAGTGATTGTTAAAAAGCGCCCCGACCTTTCCAAATTAGGGAGTTGGGGTTGCATTTTCACCATCGCGAATAAATATAGGCCTATATAGACCTAATTTTGGGGTGGGGGTGCAAAATTGATAGTTCGTTCTGGGTGCTGAAATGGATCGCTACTCCTTTAAAAAAGTTATTAATTATTATTTACTTTTTGATAATAGCGATTAAATATTTTGCGCCCCCCTAAGGATGGCGCCCTAGGCGACCGCCTAGTTCGCCTTATAGGTAGCCCTGTTGGTACCAATGTTTTCGTCATTGGGGAGATAAATATCCGGGCTGTCATTTCACGGTTTATGATTTGACAAGATCCTTGACCTTTGTTTTTTACAGACATTTTTACAAGGACATAAACCATTGTGTACGATTTCCCAACGTTGATGTAATCCTGTTCATAAGTGAAGGATTTTGAGGAGCCTACATTTTTCTTTCGCTTTATATTTCGCTATACTAAACATAAATATTTCATCGTAGTATTCTCATGGTATACTAACTCTTATATTCGTTATCATAATGTCATGACATATTTTGTATGGAAAGCATGACATTACCTCCTCTGGTAATACACCCCCCCCCCCAAGATCAGTAACCCCCCTCTCCACTTTCAAATAGTCCTTGTATACTTACCCCCCCCCCCCCCCACTTCCAAACAAAACACTGGGACATTGCCTTCTGTCAGTCTCTCCCCCCCCCCCTCTCCGATAATTTTAGGGATAAGAGATACGACAGGGATAGGTTAAGGATAGGGAGGGTTAGGTAGAGGAATGGGGGTTAAGGATAGGTTTCGGGAAAGGAATAGGGCTAGGATTAAGATAAGGTTTAGAATAGGGCTGCTAAGTAGGTCACCAACCAGTTCTACGGCTCAATAAAACGTGCATGAGCTATAGGACTGTGTATTGACCTACTTACCAGCCCTATAGTGAGGGTTAGGGATAGATGGAGCTTGATACGGAGAATGATAGGGCTAATGATAGGTATATCATATGTATAGTATATGTTCTAATGGGGCTGGGGGTGGGCTTGGTATGGAGAATGATAGGGCTAGTGATAGGTATATTTATAGTAAGTGTTCTAAAGGGGCTGGGGTCGGGTGGGCTTGATATGGAGATGGACAGGGCTTGTGGTAGGTATAAGTAATGTATTCTATTAGGGGGTTGGAATCACCAGCAGGTGATGTAATTGACGGGAGGGAGGGGGAGTAATGTCTTGGACCCACCCAATCCACATATTTTATACTCTACCCAGGCTCCGCAGCAGTAAAGAGTCCCTGAGCTCTGGTCTGGTGGAGGTCTACAGAGCCGGCAGGTGGGGCTACGTCTGTGACGACAACTGGGACCTCCAGGACGGCAACGTGGCATGTCGACAGCTGGGCTTTATCAAGTAAGGGAAGTCACTGGAAGAACAGCCAGGAGACGGGCTTGAGATCTGTTATCCTAAACTTATGTCCAGCTGCTGGCTTAGATAACGTTATCTTTATCTCTCTATCCAGCGATATTTAAGTATTCAGTTTTTTATATATCAAGTGTAACGAAATCCTAAAATCTAACTTTATTTTAGTGGGTTTTTTTTAGATTTTAATATGAGTTTTAAAAGTCAACTAGAATATGTAGTGGATAGACAATTTACCTTTTCTAGATGTTAAAACTATGAAAACTGTTAACGTTCTTACGCTTCTCGTGCTTTCGTGGTATATTCTAGCCTTATGAATAAAAATGGTTCGGTAAATAAACAAAAGGTCATCAAAATAAAAAGTCCACGCTGATCCATCAGGCAGATAAAGTACAGCTCGTCTGTTTTTGTGACCTTAGCATATGAAGCGATTGTGTAGTCAGCACTATACCAAGCCAAATTTTCTTCCTCTAACATGAGCCAGGTACCCATCAGAGCTGGGTGGACTCAGGGACGTCCTTCAGACTTGAGCTGCGTATTCTACAAATCCGACCACGCCGTCCCAATCAAATAAAAGTTGAAAAGTAGATTTTAAAACTAGAAGCTGTTAAAAAGTATTAAAAAATATTGTTTTAAATATTTTTTTTATTCAGCGGAGCAGAGTTCGCTGGGGGAGAAGAACAACCGCGTAAGAAGAAACGGAAGCCTTTAGAGTTTGTGCTAGACAACGTTCAGTGCTCCGGCCAGGAGAGGACGCTACAAGCGTGTAATCACCAGGCAACACGCTCGTGCTCTTCCAATACCCCGGCGGCTGTTGCGTGTATACTAAATACCGGTAGGCCAACACTAACAACAGCGACACATAAGATCGTAGTTTTGGTAATCAAGTTGATCATGTCAACAACAAATAAAAAAAATAAATGCTGTAACATCCTATATAAAAAAACAACAACAACAAAACAATACAACATAGATATTACTTCTAATTCTATTTTTATCCTGGAGAGAAACCTAACTAAACCATAGCATGATAACAAACATAATTAACCCTAGACCGATCAGCGAACTGGAGCACCATGACATAGCAGAACTCAGAACCTAACCCGTTCCATCGAATATTTACGGCACATGCGTTCCTATATCACATGCATTTGTTTACCATCAACTACACAAACGCCTAACATAGCTACATGACTTATGATCACGTACACACACAGCTTAAAAAAACCCCACAAGTGCACAATAGTCTATTCCCTACATGCGGATATTCATGCGCCTCTACATCCGCATCGAAATCTAACACCGCGTTTACAATTTGCGGCATGTATGCTATACATGTCTAGAAAAAACAATAACATACATGTTCGCTGGAAAAATGTTTTCATAGAACATCAACTTGTTGTGATTTTTTTCCTTTTAGCCATGTAAGCCTATAGCAGGCCTATACATGTCGCAATAATAAACTATAGCCTAGGACTTGAATTTTCAGCGACGTACGACAATTAAACATTGAACATTCATTTTAAAATTATTTTTTAAATTCTTCATTGGACCAAAAACCAAGCTGCCTCAAAGAGTAAAACACGACCACGACGAAGTCGAGGAATAAAACTCTAACGCTTCTATCTATTGACACAATGTTGTAGTATACATTTACAATTTTAGTGAAGATTCCTCTTTGGGTCTATTGGGCAGATGATGTAGAGTTCATATGTCTCTTGACCTCGGCATATGTAGGGATAATAGGCTCAGCGCTATATGCCCAGCCTCCTTTACTTTCCCTAACGCGAATTAGGTACCCATCAGAGCTGAGTGAACTCAGGAGTCCAGCGGTCTATCACTAGCCCACGCTGTCACATCGTAACATAAATATATAATCCGAGCCGACCCGCGGCGTATCATACGCCGCTATTTAGTTGTTTTATTTTCTACTTTTCAGCAATTTATAATTTGTGAATTCGACAGTACCAATGCTGCCACTGAAAATATCTGCTTTAAAACACTATCAGTAGGTCGTTAAGGACGATCCTACCCCCACCGTCCTTTCCCCCAACCCCTACCCTACACCCCCCGTGAAAGCAGCCTCCTCTTAGTTACCTCCCCTAAGTTTAAAATTGTTTCAAACTAAATTATCTGCCCCTAATAGCCATCACTAAACCCGGCTCCACGAGTGTAAATATTTAGCGTGAACCACAGCTCACCAGACCATGTAGGGGTGGGGGCGGTAGGGAGCGCGCTTACAGCTTGTTTTCTAGCGTCTCGCAGAAGAGAATTATATATATAGATACATTTTTTCTTGACCAAGATCAAATCTTTAAAACATACATAAAGACTGATCATTTGAAACACATAAAGACCAATATTTAAAACACAAAGACCAAATCTTTCAAACAAACCAAGACCAATTAGCCCAAACTCCCACAAAGACCACAATTTGACCCCGTGTTAAATGCAGGTTGTCCCAACGGCTGGCTGGCCTACCGTGACAAATGCTTCAAGCTACTCCAACCAAGCGCGGGAACTCAGGGAATCAGAGAAGCGGAAGTGACGTGTAGCAAACACAACGCCACCTTGGCCAGCATCCAATCGGCTGAGGAGAATCACTTTGTGTCAGCCATCATCAAGAACCTTAATCCAGGTAAATCCGGTCCAATCATTTCAGATCCTTCCAGGCGCCAATACAGGAAAATTGTTTTATTTTTGGTTTAAATTAAACTCATTAAAAATAGACTAGACGAGTCTAGTTTTATGAAATGCCTTTATTTTGTATCAAGGCGTCTGTTTACTAATTATAATTAAAAATGTTTTTCTTTTGTTTTAAAATTTGTAAAAATAAACAACAACAACGACGACAACAACAACAACAACAATTATCTCTCAAACGATGCTTTGTGTGGACGTGTGTTATGTTCTTATCACAGATCAGCATCAGTGGTACACATCAGGGCGCAGGATCAAATCCAAGTGGAGCTGGGTCCAGACTGCTTCTCTAGAGGGCGAAAGGAAATACACCAGGCAGCCCCTCAACGTGTCCTTGTGGTTTCCAGGTATTCACACACACACACACACATACATACACACACAAATTCACACACAGATACAAACACAGATACATACACACACGCACAAACACACACGCACAAACACACACGCATACACATACACACACATACACACACACACACACGCACACAAACACACGCACACAGGCACACAGGCACACACGCACACACATTTAAGCATACTCCCCCACGCACATATATATGTATAACTATATTTATATGCATATATATATATATATATATATATATATATATATATATATATATATATAAATATGTATATATATATATATATATATATATATATATATATATATATATATATATATATATATATATATATATATATATATATATATATATATATAAAGTTATGAAAAAAATTGAAAAACGAGACAATCTCGAATTCAGTTAAATGTTTTTTTTTACGTATAAACTGCATATATAAAATGCAAATCACCTAAAGCTAGAACTAGGGGTGAGAGAAATGAAAAAGGGTGTGGTAGGTCCTTACTTTTGATACTGCTGAGCCCTATCCTATTCCGCCCCCAACCCCCCCCCCCCCCCCAAACAAAACTAACAAAACAAACAAACAACAACAAAAATCCCATCAACAAACAAACAACAAACACATAAAAACACATTGATGTTACAGTAATGATTCTTCCTCAACCTTCCCTGATTCTCTCTCTGACCAGGCTGGACTGGGGTGGGGCCCAAGAACGCCGAACCCACAGAGCGGGGCCCGCTGGACTGCCTGACCCTGTCTGACCAGTACCCCGGCCCAGACAACTTGACCCAGACTGTGGACTATTTCTTCTGGAAGGCTGTGACGTGTCACACGTCTGCTGGCGTAGTCTGTCAGACCAACACTAGAGCGAGTACAGGTGGAGTAGATTTGTGCATTCATGTTTGAATAACTGGGACGGAGTGGCCGAGCGGTTGAGACTGCTACCCCGAAAGTTTCGAGTTCAAATCCGGGTTCAAGTTAGTAGACCGTCCCTGAGTCCACCCTGCTCTAATGGGTACCTAACTCACGTTAGGGAAAGTAAAGGCGGCTGGGCATAGTGCTGGGCACACTATCCCTTCACCCCATAGACCGTCAGGTTTGGAAGGGGAGGTTTACTCTTACTTTAGCCGCGTGAAGGTGGGACGGTGTGGTCGAATAGTAGAGCATTCGGCTGCTAGCCCTAAGGTCTCGAGTTCGAATTTCGGTCAGGACCCTGTCCTGCAGGACTTCCCTGAGTCCACACAGCTCTAATGCGTACCTGACTACTTTTGGAGAAGTAAATGCGGCCAGGATTAGGGCTGACTACATCACCCCTTCATTTGCCGAGGTCAAGAAACATGAACTCATCTGACCTATGGATCGTTAAGTGTGAAAGGACAACTTGACTTAGAGCCGCGTGATGCAGTCACAAGTTAACATGAACGATAATCACAACAAGGGTTAAATAGGCGGATACGCCGTGTTTAATACAGTGGTTCTTAAACTTTTTAAGGGTAATGAACCCCACTAGCTTTATAAGAATGTAGAAACAGGCTAAACTCTATTTTCTATTCTTTTGACATCAGTCTCTGGTTTCAAGAGACGGCGTGGTTGGGGGATAGAGCGCACGACTGCTAAACGAAGTGTCGAGTTCGGCTCGTGGACATGAGTCTGTAGGACGTCGCTGAGCCCGTTCAGCTCTAATGGGTACCGGCTTCACGTTAGGGAAAGTAAGATCAGCTGGGTATACTGCTGACCCTACCATCCATTTATATGTAGAGGTCACAGAATCAGGCAAACTCTACTTCATCTACTCCATGGACCGCCAGGTTCGATAGGTTAACCCCCCCCCCCCTCTCACTCGACGTTATTATTTCTAACAGACTGCTATACCGATGATGGCAGCTCTTATAGGGGCGTGGCTAGGGTGACAGAAACCGGAAGTTGGTGCCTCAACTGGGCGGGGTCTCCGCAAGTAAATGATAGGACACACCCAGGGAAGGTTAGTTGTTTTTAAAAAAAAAACTAGTTAGTTACGTTAGGTTTTGGTTGTAACTGCGGTAATCAACAATACTTATTCACCATTGTTCAAAGGGTTAGTTGGGGTTGAGTCGGTAAAGCTCATGGTTGCTAAACCAAAAAGTTTTGAACCCACGGGCAGAAGAGGCTCGACAGCAACTGTTCTAGCAGAGACAACTCCAAAATTAAATAACTTCTGTCTTGTAGTTTTTCTTGGTTGAACAAACGCTATGGGAAGCAAAGCCAAAGAGAAAAGTTGAGCTGAAATCGGAGTCAACGACCTTTTAGGTGTATAACCAGCCAGTGGCGTAGCCAGGATCGTCTCAAGGGGGGGGGGGTTCCAATTTTTACCCGGGGACAAACTTTCGATTTGCACCCCCCCCTCAAACTTTCGATTTGCACCCCCCCCCTCAAACTTTCGATTTGCACCCCCCCTCAAACTTTCGATTTGCACCCCCCCCCCCCCCCTCAAACTTTCGATTTGCACCCCCCCCCCTCAAGCTTTCGATTTGCACCCACCCTCAAACTTTCGATTTGCACCCCCCCCTCATACTTTTTATATATACCGAGGGGTCTATGGGGGGGGTTATGACCCCCCCTAACCCCCCCCTGCCTACGCCACTGTAACCAGCTGACACGTACTATTCAGTTGTGGTGGAGGGAATACCTCATAAAAGTCTTATGCTTTTGCGTCATAAGCAGTCTCTTCCAGGCATCTCTTGGGGGGGGGGGGGAAGAGGGCCAAGCCCCCCTTGAAAAATTTCCACCGCCCCCCCCCCTCCCCCGAACGAAATGAAATTTATATAATTTATATAGAAAATATATACTTTTAACAGTGTCCGCCGCCCGAAGAAAGTTTACCGCCCCCCCCCCCCCCGAAAATTTCAAGTGCCCCCCCCCCCGGAGAAAAAAGCCTGGAAGAAACACTGGTCATAAGCTCATAAGGCGGGGCTGGTGTATGTGGATCGCACCATGTGACACTAAAACAAAATGTAGCTAATTTTTATTTAAAAAAAAATCAGCTTTTCATAATTAATTTAATACCTTATTAACGTTATGTGAAGGTACAGGGTGACATCTTTAAGGGGTGGGGTGGGGGGTGGGGGGGGGGGTAACACCCGACCTAGTGACGTTACTTGTCACACGATAATGTTCTGAATGACGATAGTGACAAGCGGCTTTAGTAAAAGTCCCCACACTTACAGTGTTAAGTTTTTTTTGGTCGACCACATTAGCAAATTAGTTGAAGGAAAGTATAAAAGAGTCGATGCCTCCACAGGGTCTAGGTAACCATAGCAACTGCCGGAACCCTGACCACGAGAGCAGGCCCTGGTGCTGGACTGACCACGCCCAGAAAAAATATGGATACTGTCGGTTAGAAGAATGTTCTAGAGTCTCCACGACGCCAGACGGAGCTACGGATACTGCAAGTAATCGTCTGGGTACTCTTTGCTTAGGGGTCGTCCATAAATGACGTCACACTCATAAGGGGGAGGGGGGGGTCCGTACGTTTGTGACGGTGTGTGATGATGGGGGAGTGGGGGTCAGATGATGTGACGTCACACTTTTGCATTATAAAAAAAAAATGTTAGAAAACGAGTTTTAACCGTTAATTTGCGTGTTAGAAAACTGTTCTAATAAATTGTAATAGGAATTGATCAAAATACTCTATGTTGACAAGAGTTCAGACAAGATTTTGGAAAAATATCGATGTGTTAAGAAAAATTCAACTGCAATTTTCAGTGTGTGTGTGTGTGTGGGGGGGGGGGGGGTTGTATGCTGAGGTGTGACGTTATTTTAAGGAGGGGGGGGTCTGGCTTTTTGTGACGATGTGTGACGGAGGGGTGGAGGTAAAAATCGTCCAAAAAAGCGTGACGTCATTTATTGATGACCCTCTTTAGCCGTACCATAGCACTACATTTGGCTGATATCTCTTGTAAGAAAACAAAAGGAGAGGAGGTGTGGGGGGGGGGGGGGGGGGGGAGTTAAAAAACGTAAAAAAAAACGTGACATCATTTATGGATGAGTCCTAATATAAGCTCGGTGACTTTCCTAACAGCATCAAACTAGCCTAGCATGATCGTTCACTGTCACCTGTAAGCGGGTCACTCTTCACTCTTGTTTGTGTTTATACATAATGTTTTCTGTATGATGAACTCTATATGTCTTCTTTATAATGAAATCTATATGTATTATGTATGATGAACTACATACGTCTTCTGTATAATGAAATCTTTATGTATTCTGTCTGATGAACTCTATCTATTCTGTACGATAGGTTCGATATATAATCAGGTCTATATGTATTCTGTGTACTGGTCCCTCTTTATATCGTGTATGATGAACTCTACAAATATATACTCTGTATGATGAACTTTCTATATATTTGTATTCTGTATGATAAACTTATATAGGCCTATATGTATTCTGTATGATGACGTCTAGTTTTCACCATGATAAACATAATATTTATTTTTACCCCATTGAATACAGAAGGTCAGAGTGCTAGGTCAGAGGTCAATTGTAAGAACAAGGAGTTTTACTGTAAAGAAGAAAACACGTGAGTTGACAGCATGTCTACAAGGAACTAAAATATAAATCCATCATAACTGTATTATTACCATAAAATATTAGATCAATTTAATAAAGCGTCAAAACCTAAAACCGATGATAACTATGGGATTCGTAAGATTGTCAAAGGGAAGTAATAATGAAGTAGATTAGATGCGTAGGAGTTATGAGTAGCTGTTCAAAGGGAAGTAATAATGAAATGGATTCAAAACGTCGGACTTTATGAGTAGTCGTTCTTGATTAAACTTTTTTTTTTTTTTTTTTTTTTTTTGAAGGTGTATCCCGTTGTCCTACAAGTGTGACGGAGAAATAGATTGTTCACATGGGGAGGATGAATACAACTGTGGTACGTTATGGCTGTAGAGAGTACTTACACACATTCTCCACCTCTCACCATCAAATGTTATCACATTCTCCACCTCTCACCATCAACTGTTATCACATTCTCCACCTCTCACCATCAAATGTTATCACATTCTCCATCTCTCACCATCAAATGTTATCACATTCTCCATCTCTCACCATCAACTGTTATCACATTCTCCACCTCTCACCATCAAATGTTATCACATTCTCCATTCAAGTTATTTAAGTAAGCACACAAACACGCCAAAGTCAAACATCTTAATCAAGTACCCCATACATCAACATGCCACATACCCACACATTACAGATGTCACACACATCACAGAAAAAAACATTCCGCCTCTAATCTACATACAACATCCGTATTCCACATCCCCACACACCACATAGACCTCACAACACACACACCAACACATCGTTCGCACTTCCTTTTAAATGTACATACCACATCTTCACACCGCACACCACATCTTGAGACCACAACCAACCACATATATTTTTTCATTCAACTTACCATAATTAACATCAAACCAACCTACCACATCCAACCTACCACACCAACCTACCACATCCAACCTACCACACCAACCTACCACATCCATCCAACCTACCACACCAACTTACCCTATCCAACACCACACCAACCTACCACATTCAACACCACACCAACCTACCACATCCAACACCACACCAACCTACCACATTCAACACCACATCAACCTACCACATACAAACACCACACCAACCTCCCACATCCAACACCACACCATCCTCCAACATCCAACACCACACCAACCTCCCATATCCAACACCACACCAACCTACCACATTCAACGTCACACCAACCTACCACATTCAACGTCACACCAACCTACCACATCCAACCTATTACAGCTACCTACCACATTCAACACCACACCAACCTACCACATAAAAACACCACACCAACCTCCGAAATACAAACACCACACCAACCTAGTACACACCAACCTACATTTCCAACACCTCACCAACCTACCACATCCAACACCACACCAACCTACCACATCCAACCTAACACACCAACCTGCCACCTCCAACCTCCCAAATACAAACACCACAACAACCTACCCCATCCATCCACTTGTTAACCGACCTCATTGAATCTTCCCCCACCCCAGCCGCCACCCCAGCCCCCACCCCTGCCCCCACCCCAGACGTCAGACGATGTGGAAAAATCCAACCTCTCATATCCAGTCGAGTTGTTGGAGGAACCAGTGCCATCTACGGTTCCCATCCATGGCAGGCCAGAGTGGCCAATTCCACATCAGGGCTGCTCTGTGGAGCTGTGGTCATCAACAGATTCTGGCTGCTGACCGCTGCTCACTGCTTCTAGTAAGTTTTTTTTTTAAATTCGACGCGAAGTACTCACCATTAACATTCGCTGGTTCACAATTCGTTCTGTAATTTAATTTAGAATAGCAAGCTAATTGCGTAAAAAAATAATTGTGAAATAGAAAAAGTCAGGCAAAAACAATTTAAAAAAAAAAAATTTAAAATATCTGACAACAAGCATTTGTTAACATACATCAAAAGACCGACTGACCCAACACACATAATGTAGTCATAAAAAAAAAAGAAAAAAAAAACATTTTATATAGTAGAAAAAAACAACAACAACAAACAACCGTATTGAGGCCTACCCTCAGCACTAGCATAAAGAACCTAGTTAGCCCTCGCAATCTTAAAAAAGAACTGTCCGCCCTTGTGGGTCAGGCTACCCCCCCCCCACCAAAAAAAAAAAGAACTGTATCCGCCCTTGTTGGTCCGGTTACAACCCCCCCTCTAAAAAAAACTGTATCCGCCCTTGTTGGTCCGGTTACAACCCCCCCCCCCCCCCCTAAAAAAAAGAACTGTATCCGCCCTTGTTGGTCAGGCTACCACCTAGCTGCCGCTCACAGATGCGATCCCACTACGGCGCGTGGGGGCTAGTAGAAACCTGTTGAGAGGTTTTTATTTTATGCTGTATAGAATAATACACAAAATCATAATAACATTTTTCAATATTTCAATAACTGAAAGATTTTCTGAAAAAAAAAATCATAAAAAAAATTAGAATAGTTCGCTAATGAGTTTGTAATGAGTGAAGGTTTGCTAAGAGAGGTAATTATAAAAAAGTCATTATCTTCATTTACATTTAGTTTACTCCCTGCGTTATAGAATATTAAACCATAAAACAATACATACATATGTATGTGTGTTCAACCGTGGCTAATGCGATCAAAATTGCTATTGTAATCCCTAAATAATGTTGTTTTGTTGCTCTAATCTCTATATATAAACTGATCCTTTTTAGGTTTTAAAAATAGTTATTTATTGCTTAAAATCTGAAGACATTATTATGACGAAATTTTCACCAAAGGACCTTAACAAAATATTTGTTGTCGCATTAAGTCAGGGGTCTCCAAACTTTTCATTCCGAGGGCCGAATTAACAATCGAATTTCAGTTCGGGGGCCAGTTTCTACCAGGCATGTCTTTGATTTTTCTGGGCAAAGTTCCTCAGCCATCACCAACAAACGATTTTTCCTTGGACGAAAAGATCTCCGCGGGCCGGATGAGAGGACTTCGAGGGCCGCATCTGGCCCGCGGGCCGTAGTTTGGAGACCCCTGCATTAAGTCTATAGTCTAATTAATTAATATAAGTTGTGCAATATTGAGTTTTAATTTATGGCAGTTTTGTGCTCTGGTCTGTACTATATACCTTGATGGTACTAACATACATTTTTCCTCTATTCGCGAGATATAAGTAGTTAACTATTGTGTTTTTATATAAAGTAGTTTTGTGCTCAAGTCTATGTTATGTAACCTGAAGGAAGTTAACTTTAATTCAGCTCAGACAACATATTGTACTGGATATTGTCATTGAAACGCTTGTCAAGATACCACGATAAATTGAATAATAACGTTTCTGGTTAGGATTTAGTTTTAAATGTTTGACTTCAAAACATGGATGTGGAAAATTCGAATTTACAACCTCTCAAAACTTGCAGCGTAAAACGTTTACGTCCGAATGTAAAAATGTTTCAAGGCATTCTCTTCTGATACTTTCTGATGTACGAGTCATGTTTTATCTACAAATACTTTATTTATAAAAATGTCTGAAATCAAGTATGTATTTACCCATAGCGTTGTAACAAAGAGCTAAATATTCTCCTATAGAAATATCAAAATATCGTTATACTTGCGGTAAACTGAATCACTATTTAATAACTAATTTTTATAATGCATTAAAAACACAAAAAACAACTGTCCCCCTCTCTTATTGTTGAGACTACTACCCCACTAACAAAAAGAACTGTGCCCGCCCTTGTTGGTCAGACTACCTCCCCCACTCTTAAAAAGAACTGGGTCCGTCCTTGTTGGCCAGGCTCCCCCCTCTCCCCCCCCCCCCCCCCCCAAAAAGAACTGTGTCCGCCCTTGTTGGTCAGGCTACCTACGTCCCCCCCCCCCAAAAAAAAGAACTGTGTCCGCCCTTGTTGGTCAGGCTAACCCCCCCACTCTTAAAAAGAACTGTCCCCTGTCTTATTGTTGAGACTACCCCCCCCTACCAAATAAAAAAAACTGTGTCCCCCTTATTGGTCAGGCTACCCCTCCCCCCACCCAAAAAAAAAAGAACTGTGTCCGCCCTTGTTGGTCAGGCTACCACCGAGCTGCCGCTCACAGATGCGATCCCACTACTGCGCGACACGGGGACTTTTGCCTGCTGGGTTTCCCCCCTGGGCCGTTACGTCCCTCCTTAGTCAACCTGGAGGTCCCGAGCTCCCCCCGGACCGCCATATTGATGGCGGGCTTAGTGCGGACACCCGATCGACACGGACCACCCGGGAGTAGAACCCCCGACCTCAGACCGTCCAACAGTTCAAGCCTCCAAGTAGCTGGATTACAGGAGCTCGCCACGACTCCCAGCGAGAGTGGAGGCTGATAGTAACTTTATATACTAGGGCTTGCAGAAACATTTTCAAGAATTGTATTTTACTCTATACAATATTCAAATAATCCAGTTATTGAAGGATTTTGTGGGGAAAAAGGATTTACATTAAATCTAGAATAATTTGCTGTCACCATATGTTACATTTAGATTATAATGCGTGACGTTTTACAAAGGGAGGTAATTGTTAAAAAAGTATATTATCAACATTTAGATTAGTTTACTCCCTGCGTGATAAAACATAAAACAATGAAAATGCATTGTTTTGTGAAAAATATTAAATTAATAAAAACATTTTAATAACAAGCGTGTATGTATAATACACTAAAAAGAAGAAAAGAAATAATTTTCTTTAGATATAAAATACACCTCTATTTAAATAACTATAGATAAAAGTTGGGTCACTTTATTATCTTCTGGATACCTTAACTAAAATTTAGGAAGAGACACTTCCTTGTTTTTATAATCTAATATATAAAGCTCAATTCTGTAACGCATATGTTTGTCGTTGGCATTTCTACGGATTTAAGTGTTAGATCAATTATCGTGCGCAGTTGTCTAAATTTATGAGTTAAAAAATTACTATTAAAAGTGTTGGGAAATCATTTTCATTTTTCAAATTATAGTAATAATTGTCGGCATGTTCAATAAACACAAGTTTTAAAAAAATATCATCTTTTACAAAAATTCTAATTATGTTTTTATTTAGTCCTATAGCGCTTACTTCCCTTTGATAAATTAGGCATAACACAATTACTTCCCTTTATGAAATCATTGCATTAGTTGAAAAGCATTTACTTTTTAATTACTTTGTTTTGGTGTTGGGAAAAAAATAATTACATAATTAGCGGGGATTGATCAAGTGCAAATGTTTTAGGTATTTTACGGATAAGCTTGGAGTATTATAATTGTTCATTAAATTGAAACAGGCGCGTTCGTTTAAGTGAGTGCAAAAACTATGAATAAGTTGGGGTACTATAGTCGTTTATTAAGCTAAAACAGGCGATTCTGCCCCGGGCGTTTATGTTCGCGTTAGTGTTTTCTTTGTGTTTAGGTGGGTTTGCGTTAGTGGTTGCGTTTTGATTTGGTTCGTTTTTGTTCTTTCTTTTTTCGTTTTTGTTTTTTTTTTTGTTTGGGTTTGTATTTGTGTTTTTGGTTGGTTTTGCGTTTGGATTTGGTTTGTTTTCGTTTGCTTTTTCGTTGTTTTTTTTTTGGTATTGGTGTTTGTGGTTGGGTTTGTTGTTAGGTTTTTGTTTTCGTTTGTTTTTTCTTTGTGTTTGTATTGGTGTTTGTGGTTGGGTTTGTTGTTAGGTTTTTGTTTTCGTTTGTATTTCTAATTGTGTTAGCGTTATGTTTGCGTTTTGTTGTTTTGGTTGGTTGTGGTTTGGGTGGGCAATGCCGGGTTTATGATGATTACTAAACACACAGGTAATGGTCTTTAACGGAAAGGTTTTTCACAGAAGCCAGAGCAGGGCCTGGCCGGGACGGCTAGTCTAATATATAAAGCTCAATTCCGTAACGCATATGTTTGTCGTTGGCATTTCTACGGATTTAAGTGTTAGATCAATTATCGTGCGCAGTTGTCTAAATTTATGAGTTAAAAAATTACTATTAAAAGTGTTGGGAAATCATTTTCATTTTTCAAATTATAGTAATAATTGTCGGCATGTTCAATAAACACAAGTTTTAAAAAAATATCATCTTTTACAAAAATTCTAATTATGTTTTTATTTAGTCCTATAGCGCTTACTTCCCTTTGATAAATTAGGCAAAACACAATTACTTCCCTTTATAAAACCATAGCATTAGTTGAAAAGCATTTACTTTTTAATTACTTTGTTTTGGTGTTGGGAAAAAAATAATTACATAATTAGCGGGGATTGATCAAGTGCAAATGTTTTAGGTATTTTACGGATAAGCTTGGAGTATTATAATTGTTCATTAAATTGAAACAGGCGCGTTCGTTTAAGTGAGTGCAAAAACTATGAATAAGTTGGGGTACTATAGTCGTTTATTAAGCTAAAACAGGCGATTCTGCCCCGGGCGTTTATGTTCGCGTTAGTGTTTTCTTTGTGTTTAGGTGGGTTTGCGTTAGTGGTTGCGTTTTGATTTGGTTCGTTTTTGTTCTTTCTTTTTTCGTTTTTGTTTGTGTTTTTTTTTGTTTGGGTTTGTATTTGTGTTTTTGGTTGGTTTTGCGTTTGGATTTGGTTTGTTTTCGTTTGCTTTTTCGTTGTTTTTTTTTTTGGTATTGGTGTTTGTGGTTGGGTTTGTTGTTAGGTTTTTGTTTTCGTTTGTTTTTTCTTTGTGTTTGTATTGGTGTTTGTGGTTGTGGTTGGGTTTGTTGTTAGGTTTTTGTTTTCGTTTGTATTTCTAATTGTGTTAGCGTTATGTTTGCGTTTTGTTGT